AAAAAAAAAAAAAAGTAAATGGCATTACTCCGGTCTCCAAAACAGATGCCAGTTTGAACTTTACTCTGCCAGCAAGTATTTGGTTTGGCACCGCAGGGCTGGAGCTGAAAAAATATTTGCCGATTCCAAAAAGATTTAACGAGCTTTGCTGAAGATGCCGGTGCCATTTGGCATGTCACTGGGGCTGTGGCACGGCAAAGAGAACTCTCTTAACCACAGATTTTATTTGCCCAAGGTAGCCAACGCTGGGGATTCAGGCGCTTCCTTGAATCAAGAAGCCGAAAGACAAATGAGTAAAATTTCCAAGAGAAAAGTGACCAAAGCAGGCATTAAAAAAAACAAAACAAAACAAAACAAAAAAACAGAAAAAAACCTTGCTGCCATTGAAAATGAAGCCAGTAGGTTTTGATGGCTAATTTTCAGAACTGTCAATAACATCTTCATACCAGCCGTCAGACACGGTCTCCAACACTATCAGTCAGGAAACCAAATAAATCTCTAACTTGTAGCAAAGCTATTCTTATCCAATATCAGACACTAAAAACTTTGCTACAGTGTATTTTGTTGCCATCTGATAGCCTCCTAATTGTGGAGTCAGAGTTTAACTACATGAAAACTGAATGACCTACTTCAAGTATCTGTACAACCAGCAAATTTACCTTATGGTGCAAAGACAGACATGCATTGCTTTTATTAATATTTAATAGAATACCATGCATAATCTTTCCCTGTGATTGGAAAGACTGACCTTACTGCACATAAATCTCATATGTTAAAAGCCACTGGAGGTTGTCACCTGAAATCATGTATTTCAGTAAGAGGCGCAGTTACCCTGCAGGAAAACAAGGCTGTGGTCCTCTGAGTTAACGTCACATCTGACAACTATAATAAAAAATGAAAAATATTTCCGTACCAGTGTGTGCTGAAAAATCACATGTCTGTTTTCACGGATGTGGGGACAGGAAGAGTGGCACTGAAACTGTGACCACCTTGAAGAAGAGAAACTCTGGATTGTTTTCGTTAATTTCACATTGTGAGAAAACATACATATACTTGGGTGTATCCCACCTCAACTCCTATGGATCTCCCCAAACTTCTAAATGTCCTTTTCACTAAGGCCATGAGCCGATTCAATGCTTGTTCCATGGTCACCTGATGCCAAGCTTCAATAACAAATATCCTCAAAGAGCGAGCCAAGCTCTGTCCTGCTTTTCCACAGAAAAGACCTTTTCACCAAAAACGACGACGGAGCCATCTACCTAACTTAACTGAAATGTGGAAGTCAGAGTAGAAGTCAAAAACAAAGCCGCGAAACAACAGAAGGATGATGATAATTGTTATTTACCATTTTGGCTTCTGAATGCATTGGCTGGACTTGGGGAGAAGCACAGGGGTTGCTGAGATTTGGACCTTGCATTCCCAGGAGGTTGGAGTTCACTGACATTTGTCTCTCCATCTAAGAGAAAGGAAAGCAACAGAATCAGAGTCTGAGAAAAGCAGTCTAGGTCACAGACAAAGCTGCATTTCTCTTTCAAGTGGGTCATTTAGAAGCTCTGTGAATAACTCTGGAGAGAGACTGTGGTTTGGGGAAGGTAAGCAACGCACTTCTGAGCCTCAAACTCAAGGACATCAAAGAACTAATCCAAAGCCAGGCCTTCTATCGGAGATGCCCCATGCCAACCAGAACCATGTCGTCATGGTACGTTTACAAATAAAAGTATGGACTATTCCCACTTTTGCAAACCCTCCAACTGCCACTAGTCATGCTTCTTTTTATAACTGGGAAGAATAAT